CTCCACATGCCTTCCTTTGGCGAGGCTGAATATCAAAGAGAGAAGCTTCTACATGGCTACACCATCCACCATGTAGGGAAACGTGGGAGCCTCGGAGGAGAGGCCCTGATCCCTATCTCTGGGGTCACCTCGCTTGAAATCCGAGGATCACTCCACATGCCTTCCTTTGGCGAGGCTGAACATCAAAAAGAGAAGCTTCTACATGGCTGCACCATCCACCATATAGGGAAACATGGGAGCCTCGGAGGAGAGGTCCTGATCTCCATTTCTGGGGTCACGTCGCCTGAACTCCGAGGCTCACTCCACATGCCTCCCTTTGGCGAGGCTGAACATCAAAGGGGGAAGTCTCTACATAGCTACACCATCCACCATGTAGGAAAGCGTGGGAGCCTCGAAGGAGAGGTCCTGATTCCCATCTCTGAGGTCACCTTGCCTGAAATCCGAGGCTCACTCTACATGCCTCCCTTTGACGAGGCTGAACGTCAAAGGGGGAAGCCTCTATATAGCTGCACCATCCACCATGTGGGGAAACGTGGGAGCCTTGGAGGAGAGGTCCTGATCCCCATTTCTGGGATCACCTCGCCTGAACTCCGAGACTCACACCACATGCCTCCTTTTGGTCAAGCTAAACGCCAAAAAAGAAAAGCCTGAGCATGCACATCTCATCCATCATTGTTTCACCTCCCTAATTCGAACTCAACTGAAAGATCCAGTCAGATAACCTAAGTGCAATTTGGGCATTATAGTTCATCTCAAGTGAGGAAAGTGTAGCCAGTTAAGTCATCATTTATATTGCATGATTATTAACTCATCCTTAAGCTTGATTATTAAAAGTAATGGAAGTTAAGATGTCAAATTCGGATTGTTAACTCAGACTTATGCGTGGTTATTTATCGAGGTCCATGTACTTTTATTGATTTTCGTTGATATTGAGTATCAAAAAGACAATGTTGCAAAACATTAATTTTCATTGACATTGAACATGATATTACTAGAGGGAGCCCGAGGCCAGTACATCAGAATGAATTAAAGGCAAACTCTACCTCGGCAGCAGTCGCCTCCGTAGCTTGAGTTTCAAAAGTGTCTGCTTCTTTATCCTCTACTGCTTCGTCATTGACCACTTCCTCAGCAGGCATTTGAGGAACTTCATCAACAAACTCCGACCTCAATTCTGATAGGTCGATGTTAGGGAGAAGCTCCTCAGCCCTATCCATCACCTCAGCATAGGCAAAATTCCTCCAATACAACCCGAAGCGTTGATACTCCTTGGTGAGGTGAAAGTTGGCAATATAATCCTTAACTCCCTCCTCCCTCGCCAACTACTGGGCCTCCTCCCTTGCCCTCTTCAGCTCGTCAACATGCCATTTTATTTGGCCTTCTAAAACTTGTATGCATCTTTCGCCCCGGTCAGCTCTAATTGCCCTGGTCCAGGGCCTCAGTTGTCAGCTTCTAGTGATTATTAGAAATCTCCACCTTTTTAGTGAGGGAGGCCACCTCACACTGGGATTCGTACGCCTCCTTCTTTAAAACCTCAATTTGGGCCAAGGCAAATTCCAACTTGACCGCATCTTCAATCTTTTGGGCCTTCATCTTCTCCACCTCAGCCCTTATTTTCTTCAATTCCTTCTCAGTGGAGGCCAACTTGTCCCTGAAAGACTTATTACTTATCTGAAAGCCGACGAATGTTTCCTTGCACTCAAGTGCGAGGCCCAATGTCCTCATACTTTGGCTCACCAAGGCCCTGGTGAGGTTCACAGCATTGCAGCTTGATGCGTGCAGCTGCCACTTGTCGGTCCAGAATTTGTAAAAACTCTCTGTAGCGCCTCGGACCTCGGCGGGCAGCGTATCTAACAAAGCTAGTGCAAGGACCTCATCATGACCGACAAGAAAATTAGGGAACTTTCTCTGAGTCCTTGCTGGCCTCTGCTTCCTCTGCTGCCCTCTTGGCAGCCTCCTCAGCCTCAGCTTTTCTCACCATTTCCACTTTCACTGCCTTCATGGCAGAGTCCAGCAGCTTCGGCTGAGATAGGGCATCCTTGCTTGAATGGGACACTGATGTTGCAAATTTTCCCGAAGAACTGGTGACACGAACTAGCCTCCTTTTCTTGTGGGAGTCCTTGGGGACCTTTTCTTTACCCCGAGGCTCCTTTGCCTTCTCAAACTTATGGGGGGCCTCCTCTCTGGACCCACTAGAGCTGCCATCCTTGGACAGCCTCTCCAACTGGCCTCTGACCTCATTCGCTACATTGGAGCTTGGCTTTAGAGACTTCGCCTCCGCTATGGAAGTTGCCCTCAGAATCGAAGCCATGTCTGGGATGAGATACTTTCTTCTCTTGAATATATCTGCAGACAATAGGTCAGCACTGAATATCAATCACGTACAAATTTGATCAAGTGGACGCGCTTCTTACCCTTGGAAGCCATCGATTCGAAATCTACGAAGTATCGACTTCGGTCTATGAGGTGGTTAAAGTGGAGAAGCTTTAAAGGCCTCTTATATATGTCCTCGATGACCTCGAACTCCCCTTGCTGAGCTCAAACCTCGTACTTGAATATGCAAAATAAGTGGCAACAATTAGCAAAAATTGAGAAACTACTTGGCAAAATGTAATCTCACGAACTTCATAGTACTGGCTCTGTACCGCGCAAGCCATGGCCTTATCCCCCTCAACCGCCTGCCGCTTTTCCCGAACCCAGAACCACGATTCCCTCCATCCCTTGATGGAAGAAGGCAGCTCCACAACGAAAGGTGCGTGAGCTCCCCAGGGTGTGATATAATACCACCCCTTCGACTCGTATTTACCCAACACACGAGGTTGAAAAGGGGTCTGAAAGACGTGCAGAGGCATATCTTCCCCTAACGACACTTCTTTCCACAAAAAGTATAACCCCACTAGCTGGCTCCACCCATTTAGCAGAATCTGGGTCAGTGACAACATAAAGTTCCTAAGCACAGCCCTAAAGAAGGTGTGCAGAGGAAGATGTGTGCCTGCCTTGAACAGGTATTCACTTACAGCCACACATTCAGACCTCGAAAAACACACCCTTTCGTGGGCCTCGGGGACTAACATCTCCACGTAATGGGGGACGCAATATTTCTCTCTAATTTCCTCCAGCTTCTTCAAGGTCATGTTTGACACTATCCTAGCAGCCCTCCATTCTTGCTTATAATCTATAGACTCCTCGACCATGGCGTAATACTCCACCTCAGATTTTGCACTCAGAACAGCCCCTCACCCAACCTAGCTATGGTCACCAATTCTCTACCCGAAGTGGACTCCATATCAAAAGTTTGGAAAATCACAAAAGAAATGATTCTTGCAAAAAATACCTACGGGAATAACTAACAAAAGATGAATTACAAAACACCGGAGTTTGAAATCGGAGAACAACTTTGGACGTCGAAAACAACGAAAGGCAGAAAACACAGAAAGCAAACGGTGAAGAAGGGTTAAAAATGGAAGTCTTTGGCCTTTTGTAGAGAGCCAAGACGAACCCCAGCCCTTGGATGAAAGCCTCATGAATCTCAACCCTCCAATTCTAGGTTAAATTCGAAGCGTAGAATTCAAATCGTTTTGAAATCTGTGCCTCAGATTTGAATGTGCTCCTCACGCACCTCTTCAAATGCGTCTCCTTCTAGAAGATCCACCTGTACCCATCATTGTACATTCAATGCTGCAACCGTACGTGCCTTGGAAGTCAAAACGGTTCGGCTGCCTCTTCTTGGTAACATGCGCAAAACATCAAATCATTGGCACAAACATCGAAGACAATCACATCTCCAC